CAGTTACCTAATGACACCATCATAATAAAATCTGGTTGCTACCACTTCACTGCTTCCAGCCGACCAACCAAATAGATTTCATTCACAGTCTAAAATACTTTTCCTGGAAATTCCAAAAAAGGAAATTATTTACTTATTATGCTTAAATACTTATAAGATACATAATGCCGCGTTGGCTATTAATTTTCGTGCATCTTACGCTTATCGATTAACAGAACTCTCTAACAAATACGCACGATTATTTTACTGAATTAAAGTGTAAAATTATAGTACAGGAGATCGCAACATAATTTATTTCAAATTATGATTTTGCTATGGACGGAGAAGTAGTTTGTTCAGCTACAATATTAACCCAGATTAATTTCAATATTGTTTATTTACTTAGATATTTGTATTATTCGAGAGTGAATTTCCTTAGTTTTTTATTTTCAAATTTTTAGTTACTCTGCAATCTGAGGAACTCGTGATACAACTGCCTGGAAACAAGACGCGTTCAATATTATGACTTTTGGAATCTAATTGATCTGTGAATAATGAGGAATGCAGTCGTATTCTACTTTAAATTAGTCATATAACTGCTGAAATCGAAAATTAACAGAAGGAATTTCAAATAAAAATTAACCATCTTGTCATTTCCATGATTTAATTTTTAATTTGAACTTTCAATTCTTGTATAGTGAATGAGGTTATAAAAATTTTTATTTTATTTGTAATTTCATCGTTGATGTGCAGATGGAAGAAGTTGATGGCTTGCTGCTCGCCAGAAGTCGACGTGGAGCTGCTCTTCAGCAGCTGGTTGCAGGATGGAGTGGCGGTCCTGATGTCCAAAGACGATGTGACGGGTGAGATAAAAACTGGGGATGTCCAAAGACGATGTGGCAGGTAATATGAATACTGAATATGTCCAACGATGACGTGACGCATGACCTAGCTACTGGTGATGACCAAAGATGGCGCTAATGGAGTTTCCTCTTCAATATTTTATCCATTTACGTCAGATTTGATATCAAGCCGCGCTGAAGACTTGTTAATATATTAAGTGGTGGTTATGAAAGTTAATCATGCAATCGAGGTGCGTTTCTTTGGCCGCGTTCAATTCAGGTTCAAAATTTTTATATATACTAAGGGGAGAAAGCTGCTCAAACATGTGCGAATTTTTCAGGTACCTAGCTCGATAGCCTTCTATCTGCACCTTCTTAATTATTAACCCTCCTGCTCGTTGTGTGCACCTTCTCATTAACCCTCCTGCTCACTTTGTGCACCCTCTCATTAACCCTCCAGCTCACTGTGTGCACGTTCTCATTAACCCTCTAGCTCACTGTGTGCACCTTCTCATTAACCCTCCAGCTCACTGTGTGCACCCTCTCATTAACCCTCCAGCTCACTGTGTGCACCTTCTCATTAACCCTCCTGCTCACTGTGTGCACCCTATCATTAACCCTCCAGCTCACTGTGTGCACGTTCTCATTAACCCTCCTAACAGGTCCCACCGTGCACCTTCTCATTATCCTTCCTATAACAGGTCCCACAGAGGTGGCCGTGGCACCGCCTTTGGTTCACGAGGCTAAGGAGAAGCTGCAGCAGAACAACTTAAACGTTACGGTCGCAGCCGAGGATGTCGAGCAGTGAGTAAATACATTATTTTGAGACATTCATCGACTTCCATGATATTCACCGAAGACGTATACGTTGTTGCAGTTCTTTAAATAGGTAAATTCTCAATTGTGAGATAAATTTTATTGTTCTCATCGAAGTATCCTGTCTCATTGCCAATATGTCATAAGAACATAGATGCCGAGCATGGAAAGTGTGAAGGATATTTCCATGGTATTTGTGAAGAGTATTAAATGATGGATATTGGTAGTTAATTCATCACTTTGTGACCAAGTGGTTTAAGATGGGCAAAGTTTGAAGAAGTGGGTCACGGGTATGAAACACGATGCAATCTGCGTAAAATTGTGCGATTCTACAGTATAGAATTAGACAAGTTAAATACTAAATTACTCCTGATGGTTAAGCGCGATATTATGGTTTATTAAATATATTGATATTATTATGTATGACAATGCATTGAATGTAATATTCATGCTTGGAATGCATTCATTTAGTAATTTATTGTTTATATTATGTTCTATGTAATAATTAAATTAATTTGTTGTATGTAATGCATTGGATGTAAATAATTTAAAATGTTTTGTCCTAGGATTTTAGATGCAACTCGACTACCAACCATTCGCGACCGGAAGAAGAAAATCACCGAAGACTTCCTAGAGCTGAGTGAAGTGAGTACAGAGCTGAGTGAAGTGAGTACAGAGCTGAGTGAAGTGAGTACAGAGCTGAGTGAGGTGAGTACAGAGCTGAGTGAGGTGAGTACAGAGCTGAGTGAAGTGAGTACAGAGCTGAGTGAAGTGAGTACAGAGCTGAGTGAAGTGAGTACAGAGCTGAGTGAAGTGAGTACAGAGCTGAGTGAAGTGAGTAC